AAAGTCACTGCTGGGGAGTGGGAGCCTCGCGAGCCGTTCCCTCGACCGGGCTGGACCTGGGCACTTCGGGGAGGTCGGCCCTGGGCCATAGCAGCAACAGATCGGCGGCGAGGCGGCACGCAAAACTGGCAGTCTGAGAGGCGAGATCCATGTCCAAAACGCTCTGGGTCACCACTGGCACACTGGCAGCCGCGCGGAGGGGAGCAGCGGGGGAAGGGAAGGGGTGGCAGTAGGAGGAGATGATCCTCGATGGGCACGCCCCCCTTTTCGCAGTGGGCTCCGGACCCTCGGCCGACACGCCTGGCCACGGTGGACACCAGACCCCCAAATTACAATGGGTCTGTTGCCGGGGCCGCGGATCAAGCAGAGGAGGAAACAGTAGCAGGAGGGGGGCGGGGGCAGGATGATGAGTCGGTGGGGGAGGAGGAAGAGGAGGAGGAGGAGGAGGAGGAGGAGGAGGAGGAGGAGGAGGTGGGGAGGAGGAGGAGAGGAGGAGGAGGAGGAGGTGGTCATGAGGTGGGGGAAAGGGAGGTGGAGGGAAGAGGTGGGAGGAGGAGGAGGTACCAGGTGAAAGAGGATACGAACAGGGAAAAACAGGGAGGAGGAGGAGGAGGAGGAGGAGGAGAGGGAGGAGGAGGAGGAGGAGGAGGAGGAGGAGGAGGAGGAGGAGGGGGAGGAGGAGGAGGAGGAGGCAGTACGGAGGAATGCGGATGAGATGAATGATGGGTGAGGGGGAGTGTGGGGGGAGCAGTGGGGTGACAAGGAAGATGAGAAGGGGGCGGAGCAGGGTGAGGGGAGGATGAAGATGAGGAGTGGGGAGGGGGAGGAGCGGAGAGGAAAACAAGGAGGAGGAGGACAAGTAGGGATGATGAGGAGGATGAGGAATTGAAGGAAAGACCAAGGTTTCTGAGCCCATCGTTGGGGGTTGAGGGGCGTCCTTCTCTTCCCCCCCCTCCCGCTACTTCCCTCGTGCTGCCGCTGCTCCTTCTGGTCAGGGGCGCCATTTGGTAGTCCCGTCCGCTCCTCCTCTTCCCCTCCTCCTCCCCTCGTGTCCTCCTCCTTTCCTCCACCTCTTGCTCGCTGTTGATCACGATGGTGATGATGATGCTGCTGCTGCTGATGATGATGAGGATGCGGATGATGATGATGATGATGATGATGATGATGATGATGATGATGATGATGATGATGATGATGATGATGATGATGATGATGATGATGATGATGCTGATGCTGATGATGATGATGATGAAGAAGATGAAGATGATGATGCTTCTGATTCTGATGATGCTGATGATGGTTATGGTGCTTCTGATGATGCTGATCAGGATGATGCTGATGATGATGCTGCTGATGATGCAGATGCTGATGCTGATGCGGTTTCTGATGATTCTGCTGGTGCTTAGGACGATGATGATGATGGTGGTGGCGTTGCTGATAATGATGCTCGTGATTATGATCAAGTGATGGTGATCATGATAGCAATCACGACGACGATGATGCTCGTGCTGGTGATGCTGATGCTGATGCTGATGCTGCTGATGATGGTGATGCTGAACATGATGATGGTGATGATGATGCTGATACTAATGATGTTGAGGAGGATAATGAGGATGCTGAGGATGCTTATGCTGCTGCCTGTTATGTTGATTGCGACTCTGATTATGTTGGTGATGATGAGGTTGATATGACGATACTGGTGACGGTGATGCTGAAGCTGATGCTGCTGCTGCTGATGACGATGCTGATTATGCTGAAACTGATGGTGATGAGTATGATAATGCTGATGCTGATGCTGCTGCTGATGAAGTTGCTGCTGCTGCTGATGATGATGATGCCGACGATTACGAGGACGATGGTGCTGACGATGATGACGTTACTGATGATTATGATGCTGCTGATGCTGATACTGCTGATGATGCTGATTATGGTGATGATGCTGCTGCTGCAGATAATGATGATGATGATGTTGCTGCTGCTGATGCTGTCGATGATGTTGATACTGCTGATGCTGATGATGAGGATGATGCTGATACTGATTATGATGATGGTGATGATGTTCACGACGATGATGATAATGCTGCTGGTGCTGATGCTGCTGATGATGCTGCTGCTGATGATGCTGGTGCTGCCGATGATGATGCTGATGATGCTGATGATGATGCTGACGCTTATGATGCCGATGCTGATGATGATGCTGATCATAATGATGCTGACGGCGATGATGCTGGTGCTGATGGCGATGTTGAAGATTATTATGCTGATGATGCTGATGATGATGCTGATGACCATGACGCTGCTGATGATGACGACGATGATGCTGATGATGCTGCTGCTGATGCTGTTGATGATGACGATGATGCTGATGCTGACGCTGATGATGGTGGTGGTGGTGATAATTATGATGGTGCTGGTGCTGGTGATGCTGATGCTGATGCTGCTGATGATGCTGAGGATGCTGATGAAGATGATGATGATGATGAAGATAATGCTGCTGATGATGATGATGCTGATGATGATGATGCTGACGATGATGATGATGATTATGTTGCTGATGCTGATGATGCTGATGATGATGGTGTTGATGATGCTGATCATGACGATGGTGATGCTGATGATACTGATGCTGCCGCTGCTGACGATGATGCGTATTATGATGATGCTGATGATGGTCTTGATGTTGCTAATGATGACGATGACGATGATGCTGATGCTGATGCTGATGCTGAAGATGCTATGATGGTGATGCTGATTATGATGCTGCTGATGATGATGATGATGATGATGATGATGAAGAAGCTGATGTTGATGCTGATGCTGATGCTGATGCTGCTGCTGATGATGATGGCGATACTGATGCTGACAATGATGGTGATGCTGATGATGCTGCTGATGCTGCTGATGCTGGTGATGCTAATGCTGATGATGATGCCGCTGCCGCTGATGATGATGCTGATGATGATGCTGGTGATGGTGATGATGGTGAGGTTGATGCTGATGCTGATGCTGATGCTGATGCTGATGCTGCTGCTGATGATGCTGCTGATGGTGATGGTGGTGGTGATGATGGTGATGATGGTGGTGCTGCTGCTAATGATGATGACGAGGAGGAGGAGGAGCAGGAGGAGGGGGAGGAGGAGCATATGATAGAGGAAGAGAAGGAGGACGAAGGGGGTGGGATTGCGGGATGGAGGCAGAGGGTGATGGGTGGGGGGAGGCAGGGTGGGGGGGGGAATGGGAATGAACAGGATCAGGATGGACGGGGGGTGCGGGCGGGGGGGATGGGGGGGGGTGCAGTATGCGGGCGGGGAACAGGGAGCGAGGATCGGTGGGTGTATGGCCACGGGGGGGAGGGGTCCTTGTCCCCTCCTCCCCCTCCCCCCTACTCCCCCTCCTCCTGCTCTTGGCACTGCGACCTCTGTGGCACCACCTGGATAAAGCCGGCTACTGGGAAAGGAGAGGCACAGCTGGGAAGCCACTTTGTCCACGGCGCGTCCTCCCGAGCGGGCGCCCGACGCGCGCCGCTTCGCCCGCGAGGCTGTGGCCTCGCCCGCCTCGCCCTCAATGGGGGCCCGAGCGCGTGCCCGCACAGGCGTTCCGATCCGATCCGGTCCCCCTGCTTCCGCCCCACATCCTTTCGCCCTCGTGCACTAGGCGTGCCCGATCATGGGTCGTCTTCGGAAGTCCTCAAGCGGTAGCCCAACGCTTCGGAGCCCTCCGCTCGCGAACTCCAAGGCTCCCAAGGCTGTCCACGGCCGCCTCGGTTGAGGGGGAGCATATATGGACATAGACATACATACATACATCCATACATACATACATACATACATACATGCATGCATGCATGCATGCATGCATGCATGCATGCATGCATACGCACAAACATTTATACATACATAGGTGCATGCGTGCATACACACACATATATATATATGCATACGTACGTACATACATACATGCGTGCATGCATACACACATACAAACACACATACATACACACATACAACTATACATGCAGCCATACATACATCCATACATGCATACACACACGCATACATACACATGCATGCATACAACTATTCATACACACATCTACATACATGCATGCATTCATACAGACAAACATACATACAAACACACAGGCATACGCACATGCATATAGACACATACGCACAGACATACTGACATACACACATACACACATACATACACATCTATACACATACATGTATGTATGCATACACACATACATACACACATAACATTTTTCTTTTAATAAAAACATTTTTTGCTTATTTTTTAAACCCTATACATGCATTCTTGCATTGCTTGCATGATATGCATCCACACATAATACATACATACTATACACACAGGACGTAAAACGTACATACATTCATTATCTTACATTACTCACATGCATACATACATACATGCTTAACGTACATACATAATACATTACATTACAATCACACATACAGTCACCACCACATACGTACATACAAAAAAATTTCATACATACCATACATTATCTTACCTACATACATAACATACAACCACATACTAAATTCATTCCATACCTACAACATACATACATACATCCATACATTACGTACGTACACACGTAACAGGAGGTGGAAGGAGGAGGAGGAGGAGGAGGAGGAGGCGGAGGAGGCGGAGGAGGAGGCGGAGGAGGATGAGGAGGAGGAGGAGGAGGAGGAGGAGGAGGACAAAAAAAGAAGAAGAATACTAAGAAGAATAATAATAAAAAGAATAATAATACGCATAATGAGAATACGAATACTAATACGGATAATAAGAATAATAATAATAATACGAAGACGACTACGAATAATAATAATAATAGTACGACGAATAAGAAGAATAATAATAATGAGAATAAGACGAATACGAAGACGAACAATAATAAGACGACTAATACGAATACTAATACTACTAATAATAACAAGAAGAAAACGAATAATAATAATAACAATACT